TTTATTTGTTTGTTTGTTTGTTTGTTTGTTTGTTTGTTTGTTTGTTTGTTTATTTACTCTTTGTTTGTTTGTTTGTTTGTTTGTTTGTTTGTTTGTTTGTTTATTTATTTATTTATTTATTTATTTATTTATTTATTTTATTTATTTATTTAGTTATTTATTTGTTTATTTATTTTTGTTTATTTGTTTGTTTGTTTATTTACTCTTTATTTATTTATTTGTTTGTTTATTTATTTACTTTTTATTTATTTGTTTGTTTGTTTGTTTGTTTGTTTGTTTGTTTGTTTATTTCGTTTGTTTGTTTGTTTGCTTATTGATTGATTTATTGATTTATTTATTTATTTATTTATTTTGTTGATAGGCAGATTCTGTCTTTATCTCTCTTTCTTTGTTTGTCTTTGTCTTTCTGCTGTCTCTTTTTCTTTCTTTCTCTGTCTGTCTTTCGTTTTGTCTCTCTGTCTTTGTCTGTCTCTCTTCTTTTATCTGTCTCTCTATCTGTCTCTGTCTCTTTATCTATCTCTTTATCTCTTTATCTGTCTCTTTATCTGTCTCATCTCTCTCTTTATCTGTCTCATTATCTCTCTTTATCTGTCTCTTTATCTGTCTGTCTCTCTGTCTCTTTATCTCTTTATCTGTCTCTTTATCTGTCTCATTATCTCTCTCTTTATCTGTCTCATTATCTCTCTCTTTATCTGTCTCTCTTTATCTGTCTCTCTTTCTGTCCGTCTTTGTTTTTATTTGCTGCATGCATTTTCTGTTTGTGTCTTCTTCTGTCTATCTCTTTTCTGTGTCTCCTTTTGTCTCTACCGCCGCACCTGCCACTGCTGCTGCTGTTGCTGTTGCTGCTGTTGCTGCTGCTGCTGCTGCAGGCGAGGCTCTCCGAACTGCAGCAGACTTAGGCGACAGCAACGCGCAGGTGTTATATGCTGCTGCTCACCTTGCTGCTTTAGGCCCCAATTCAGCAGCAGCAGCAGCAGCAGCAGCAGGGGGCTCCTCATCATCTCCACCGGACAACCCAGAAGCAGCAGCAGCAGCAGCAGCAGCAGCAGAAGCTGCAGCAGCAGGGGGACGAGGTGCAGTGGTAGCAGCAGCAAACGTTACAGAAGCACTTGTCTACTTCGCAAGTGCTGCTGCGGCAGGCAACCCTCAAGCTCTATATACTTCTGGCTTGCTGCTGCTGCAGGGGGCATCGCCTCTACACAAGTCGACGAAGGAGAGATGTAGCATTTCGTTTAATGTAGGTTTTTGTTTTTTACTGTCTCTTCATCTGTCTCTTTATGTCTGTCTCCTCATTTATATCTACCCCTTTACTCTGCTGTCTCTGTCTCTTCTTCTGTCTCTTCATCTGTCTCATCATGTCTGTCTCTTCCTCTTTGTCTCTGTCTCTCTTTGTTTCTGTCTCTTTATTTTTATGTCTTTATTTATTTCTGTCTCTTTATCTTTTTATTTCTGTCTCCTCCTTTCTGTCTCTCTCTCTTTCTTTTTATGTCTTTCTTCTGTCTCCTTCTGTCTCTGTCCTTCTTTTTACGTCTTTCTTTCTCTGTCTCTTTATTTTTATGTCTCTCTTTCTCTGTCTCTTTCTGTCTGTCTCTTTTTATGTCTTTATTTCTGTCTCTTTCTTTGTCTTTCTCTGTCTCTGTCTTTTAATCTCTTTCTTTCTCTCTTTCTTTCTTTCTTTCTTTCTTTCTCCTCCTGTCTGTCTCTGTCTCTTTTTTCTGTCTTTCTTTTTTATTTTTTTTACTATATTCTTTTTGATATATCTTAAGTGTCTCCTCTGCAGCTGTCTCTTCTTATGTCTCTTCTTATGTCTCTTCTTTTTTTGTCTTTGTTTGTTTCTACGTGCCAGCCTTCTTGAATCCCTTTTGTTTCTTTCTGCTGCTTCTCTAGGGTTTAGGGTTTAGGGTTTAGGGTTTTGGGGTGTCTGTGCAGGTGTTAAGAAAGGTAGCTCAGCTTCACCCGCGCATTAATTTGCTGCACGCGCTGTCTCTGCATGCATACAGAGCAGGAGACATATCTGGAGCTTTGCTGCTGCTGCTGCTGCTGTCTGAAGTTGGTGATGTTGCTGCACATGTCTCAGCTGCAGCACTCTGGGGCACAGCAGCAGCGCAGCATCAGCAGCGGCAGCAAGCAGAGCAGCAACTCATGCAGAGCCTGCTACAGGCAGACCTTGCTGTTGCTGCTGCTGCTGCTGCTGCTACTCCTGCTCCTGGGGAGCCTGCTGCTGGAGCTCCAGGCAGCACAGCAGCAGCAACAACAGCTGCTGCAGCAGACGCCGCAGGCGCTGCAGGTAGCCAGCAACCGGCAGGGCAAGAAGACATATCACAGCAGCAACAGCAGCAGCAGCAGCAGCAGCAGCAGGTGCATTTAGACGACAATGGTGCAGCTGCAGCAGCAGCAGCAGCAGCAGCAGCAGCCGAATCTGATGAGGTGCAGCAGCTGCTGCTGGCACGCTATAGGGACCCTTCTATCGGTTTATTAGAGGCAGCAAACGCAGCAGGAATGCCTGCAGCAACAGCAGCAACTGCAGCAGCAGCAGCAGCAGCAGTAGAAGAGCGCGTTGCAGCAGCAGGAGCAAACTGTTTGCTGCCGTCTCGCGTGTCTCCTGCTGCAGTAGCAGGGGCACAGCAACAGCATGCAGCAGGAGATGCTGCGGTGTATAGGCAGGTGATGTATGACAGTGAGAAGGCGTGCAGCGTAGCTGCTGCTGCTGCACCTTCTGCTGCTGCACCTGCTGCTGCTGCTGCTATTGCTGCTCGGCAGCAGCTGCAGCATTTAAGAGTCTCTGAGTTTATTCGTTGCTGGCTGTCTCCGCCTGTGGGGCTCTTCGTGTCTCCAAACAGCAGCAACGCACTCCCCTGCCAGTTTGCTGCAGTCAGAAGAGCAGCAATACAAGTAACTATAAATATAAATATAAATATAAATATAAATATAACTATAAATATAAATATAAATATAAATATATGTGTTTATATATTAGCATTAATATATAAATGTAGTGGCAATGTATATACGAAGCAGAATTATGTTGCTGCTGCATGAGGCGATCTTGCTGCTGCTGCTGCTGTTGCTGCTGCAGGGAGATGCTGCTTCAATGGTGAAGCTGGCGGAGATGTACGCAGCATCAGCAGCAGATGCTGCTGCTGCAGTTAAGGAAGCTGCTGCTGCTGAAGCAGAAGCAAAAGCAGCAGAGGCTGTTTCGAGTTCAACGGAGCAGCAGCAGCAGCAGCATCAGGGGAGCCTTGCGCTGCCGCATACAGAAGCAGCACCAGCAGCAACAGCAGCAGCAGCAGCAGCAGCAGCAGCAGGAGCTTTAAGCAGGTACTGGGCTGAGAAAGCAGCAGCAACATTTGACGGTAGAGGTTTATTCGTTTTTGCTAGACTTAAAGAAGAAGGAGTGGGGGGCCCCAAACAGAGAGAAGAAGCCATCAAGGTAGCGCTCTTGCTGCTGCTGCTGCTGCTGCTGCTGCTGCTGCTGTGGTGCTGCCGTCGTGGTGGTGGTGTTGCTGTTGCTGCTTTGCTGCTTTGGTTCTGCTTCTGTTGTGTTACTGCGGTGTTGCTGCTGCTGCATTGCTGCTGCTGCTGCTGCTGCTGCTGCTGCTGTAGATGCTGCTTTTGGAGTTATTTTCCCTCGCAGCAGCAGCATAGCATAGCAGCGCAGCACAACTCGGTTTGCTGCTGCAGTTAGTTGTGGGGTGTCTGTTTGCTGCTGCAGTTGGTTGTGGGGTGTCTGTTTGCTGCTGCATGCGCATGCATTCAGGTGTATTGGCAGCTGCTTGTGGGGCCCTCTTTTCCTCTAGGGAGTCGGGCCTTAGGGTTGTGGGGTTTCACAAGAATGTCTTTTCTTTCTTTTCTTTTCTTTTTTAAGAACATATTTAATAGAATTTGGGCAGGCAGCAGCAGCAGCAGCAGCAGCAACAGCAGCAGCAACAGCAGCAGCAGCAAACGCGACGCCCTAGACACTGACCGCAACAGAAATACACCTGCTGCTGCTGCAGATTTGCTGCTGCGTTCTGAGCTGCAAGCAGACGACGAGCTGCAGCAGCAGCAGCAGCAGCAGGATGAGGAAGAAGATGAAGCAGTGATCCACCCTATTGCTGTTGTTCTCTCTCTTTACCTTGCCGTGAGGCCCTGCTGTTGCTGCTGCTGCTGTTGCTGCTGCTGCTGCTGCTGTTGCTGTTTCTGCTGTCTGGTGAGCAGGGCTCCTTTTGTTTGCCTTTCTTCTTGCCTGCGTTTGCTGCTGCTGGCTGCAGCTTGCTCTATCTTGCTGCTGCTGCTGCTGCTGCTGCTGTGTCTGCTGCAGCGTGAGGAGCAGCAACGGTTCTGGGGCGAGCTGCTGCTAGGCTTTTTGCTGCTGGCGGTTTGGGGCTTCCTCGCTATCCGCCTGGCGCTGCGCATCCCTGAAATGCGTGCAGCTGCTGCTGAGCAGGAGGCAGCAGCAGCAGCAGCTGCTGCTGCTGCTGCAGTTGGTGGCTCGCAGCAGCAGCAACACCAGCAGCAGCAACAACAGCAACAGCCATCAGGCAGTGCTGCCTCGCATGCGCACACTGCTGCAGCAAGGGCCTCCTTTCCTGGGGCAAAGGCAGCAGCAGCAGCAACAGCAGCAGCAGCAGCAGCAACAGCCAGCCCATCCGCTACCGCACCCGGCGATGCTGCGCCCCAGAACGCAGCAGCAGCAGCAGCAAAACCTACAGCAGCTGCAACGGAGCCGTCAGCACCAGCTGCAGCAGAACCTGCAGCAGCTGCAGCAGAGCCAGCAGAAGCAACTGAAGCAGCAGAGCCTGCAGCAGCAGAAGCAGCAGAGCCCGCAGCAGCAGCAGAAGCAGCAGAGCCTGCAGCAGCAGCAGAGCCCGCAGCAGCAGCTCAAGCTGCAGAGCCCGCAGCAGCAGCTGCAGCAGCAGAGCCAGCAGAAGCAACTGAAGCAGCAGAGCCAGCAGCAGCGCCTGCAACAGAAGCTGCAGCAGAGCCTGCGTCAGCAAAAGCTGAAGCAACCGAGCCTGCAGCAGCAGCAGCAGCAGCAGAGCCTGCAGCAGCAGCAGCAGCAGAGCCTGCAGCAGCAGCAGCAGCAGCAATAGAGCCTGCAGCAGCAGCAACAGAAGAGAAAGAATTAGGTGAGGATAAGGATTTGATTGCGCCCGTCTGCAGCGCAGGGAAAAGCAGCAACTCAAAGAGCAGCAGCAACATCAGCAGCAGCAGCAGCAACAACAGCAACACTTAAGGATTTGCTGCTGCTGCTGCTGCTGTTTCTGGTGCAGCGTTGTTTTATAGAACTGTTGCTGCTTTATTTACGGCGTGAAGGAGTTAGACATTATTATGAGCTGCTGCTGCTGGTGTAGCTGCTGCTGCTAGTGTAGCTGCTGCTGCTGGTGTAGCTGCTGCTGCTAGTGTAGCTGCTGCTGCTAGTGTAGCTGCTGCTGCTAGTGTAGCTGCTGCTGCTAAGTTAGTTGCTATTGCTGTTGCTGCAGCGCATCACGTGCTGCAGCTCTGCTGCAGTTATTCAGGAGTATATCCACCTACGACACCCCACAGCCCCCTTGCTGCTGTCTTAGGCCTACAACTAACAATATGTGTTTTAAAAGGGATGCTGCAGCAGCAAAGCAATGCTGCTGCTGCTGCCGCTCGTGCTGGAGTAGCAGCAGCAAAACGTTAGTGGTGCTGCTGCCGCTCGTGCTGCAGCAGCAATACTAGCTGCAGCAGCAACACTAGCTGCAGCATCAACACTAGCTGCAGCAGCAACACTAGCTGCAGAAGCAACACTAGCTGCAGCAGCAATCCTAGCTGCAGCAGCAACACTAGCTGCCGCAGCAATCCTAGCTGCAGCAGCAGCACTTGCTGCTGCAGCAACTAAATAAAGAGACAAACGGCAGCAACGGCTCTCAGCTGCGCAGCTGCAATCTCCAGAGACGGATATAGAAGGGCAGCAGATAAGTAAGGAGACTCCTTGCAGCAAGTTGCTGCTGCTGCTGCTTCTGCTGCTACTGTGTCTCCTCAACAGGAGATGACAGATCGTCTACTGAAATATCGGTGCTCTCGCTGCTGCTGCTGCTGCTGCTGCTGCTGTCTTCATCGCCGCCATCTGGGCCCCCAGAAAGGACGGCCTCCCCCACAGCCAAGTCCTCTGCTGCTGCTGCTGCTTCTGCTGCTGCTGCTTCTACTGCTTCTGCTGCTGCTGCTTCTACAGCTGCTACTTCTGCTGCTGCTGCTTCTACAGCTGCTGCTTCTGCTGCTGCTGTATCCTGCTGCGAGGTACGCCGGCCCCTGCGAGAGAGGCGGCTTTTTGTTGAAGGTTCAGAGGCTTCTGCTGCTGCTGCTGCTTCTTCTGCTGCTGCCTCTGCTGCTTCTTCCGCTGCTACTGGCGTCTCGCCTTCTGCTGCTGCTGCTGCAATCCCCCCGAAAGCCGGATTTGCGTCATCTATTTTGTCGCTTGGCAGCAGCAACTGCTGCTGCTGCATATCCTGCTGCTGCTGCTGCTCTTCTTGCTGCATTGCCTCTCTGGTGGGCAGCGGCTGTCCTCTCCGCCTCATCGTCAGCTGCGGTGGGAACTCTGCGCTGCTGCTGCTGCTGCTGCTGTTGCTGCTGCTGCTGCTGCTGCTGTTTTGGGGGGGGATGAAACGAAACCTATAGCTGGGGTGTCTCCTCACCACCGCCAGATAGCGCCTCTGAATGAAGGCTTCCTTCTGCAGCAGCAAACATCTGTCTAGTTGCTGCAGCAGGCAGACGCACGCACACAGTCTTGCAGCAGCAAACGGTACAGCAGCAGCAGCAACAGCAGCAGCAGCAGCACCGGGTTGCAGCAGCAGCAGATCCAGCATCAAGTAACCGACCACCAAAAGCAGCAGCCTGGTTAGCAGCTATAGCAGCAGCACTCCTAGCAGCAGCAGCAGCAGCAACAGTAACAGCAAGAGCAAGAGCAACAGCAGCAGCAGCAGCAGCAGCAGCACGACCTCACCGGATGTGCTGCTAGATCCATTCCTGTAGTCCACAGAATGTGCTTCCGCCAGTCGTCTTCGAGGGCCTCCAGCCCCCCTCCTTGCTGCTGCTGCTGCTGCTGCTGCTGCACTTGCTGCTGCGGCTGCTGCTGCTGCTGCTGCTGCTGCATGGGCTGGTAGAGTTGATCAAGCACGCGGTGTCTCCACAAAGCAGCAACAAGAGTTTTAATTGAAGTACGCCGAGTGTAAATAAAAGACCGGCACAGCCAACTCGCGGGGCTGCAGCAGCAGCAGCAGCAGCACAAGCAGCAGCAGCAGCAGCAGCACAAGCAGCAGCAGCAGCAACGGCGGAATTAAATACACCCTTAATGAAGCAGCAGCAGCAGCAGCTGAAGCAGCAAGGGAGTGCGAAGCGCAGCAAAAGGGATCAGACAAACAACACAAGCTGCAACTATGAAAGCTCAGTCAAACCCTAAACCCTAAACCCTAAACCCTAAACCCTACTTGATTTCTAGCCCGTGTCTAGCTAGGGCCTCAGAGAGGATCTCTCGTCTCCGTCGTCTCTGTCTGCCTTCTTGCTGCAGGAGCAGCATGTTGCTGTGCAGCTGCTGCAGCAGCTGCTGCTGCTGTTGCTGCTCTGCTTCTGCTTGCACGCGATCTCTAGCTGCAGCATAAGAGGCGCTTAGCGGAAACCACCAAGTGCCGTAAGGTGCTGCTGCTGCTGCTGCATCTGCTGCTGCATCTGCATCTGTCTCCTCACCCGCAGCAGCAGCAGCAGCAGCAGCAGCAGGAAGAGAAGTAACAATAGGGGGGGGGCCCTGGTGTCTCCTTAGCTGCAGCAAATGCTGCCTTCTGCATCCTTCAACTAAATCTTCAAGCGTCTCTAAAGAGAAACGAAGCGGCAGCACGCTCTCTATTTGCTGCTGCAGCTCTTTGTCTTGCTGCAGCAGCAAACCTACATCGAGTTCACGCAACCAACCAACAGGTGCTGCTCCTGCTGCTCCTCCTCCGCCGCCAGATGCAAACCAATGCTGCTGCTGCTGCTGCTGCTGCAGTTGCTGCCGCTGCTGCTGCCCTCCTAACAGACGGTGAGGCATCACCTGCGATCGCGGGTACCCCTCTGCTGCTGCTGCTGCTGCTGCTGCTGCTGAACGCCGCCGCTGCCAGCGCGGGGGCCCCCAATAAGATCCTGCCTCCGGTGCTGCACCATTAAACTGCTGCTGCTGCTGCTGCTGCTGCTGCTGCTGCGGGTATGGCTGCCTAGCAGATGCCCGTACACCCCAAGGCCGTCTGGGCCTCCAGGACTGCCGCCAGTTGTTGTTGCTGTTGCTGCTGCTGCCCCAGTCATTCCAGCCTGTTTGCTGTTGCTGCTGCTGCGGTCTCTGCTGCTGTGGCTGCTGCTGCTGCTGCTGTTGCTGCTGTCTCCATGATGAGTCTTCCTGCTGAGACTCGGGTCCTAGCGAAGCCTCCCCCTCAAAGCTCTCTCCTGCTGCTGCTGCTGTTGCTGCTGCTGTTGCTGTTGCTGCTGCTGACCTTTCAGCAGCAATCGGCAGCACGTATCCTAGGAAAGAAGATTTAGGGGGCCCCAAGCAGCTGGGTGCTGCTGCAGCCGTGCTGCAGCGGGAAGCAAATGCTGCAGCACCGGTGCCTTGTTGCAGCAGCAGCGGCAGCAACAGCTGCAGCAGCAGCAGCAGTTGCTGCTGCAGCAAGGCACGAGGCTTCCTGCGCCACTCTGCTGCTGCGTTCATTGCCCTAGCTGAAAACCTTCCTCCCTACCCCACTTGGATCTGCTAGTCTGCTGCAGCAGCAGCAGCAGCAACAGCAGCAGCAATAGCAGCAGCAGCAGCAGCAGGAGCAACAGCAGCAGCAGCAAACCAGGTGTTTATACACCCCAAACAAATCGACTCGTTCTCTAGCAGCAGCAAGACACGAGGGTTGCTGGTCGCTGCAGCAGCAGCAGCAGCAGCAACAGCAGCAGCAGCAAAGACAACACTGAAGAACCTCCCGTATACGCCTGTCTGTGTGCTTTCAGTAAAGAACTAACAGAGGCCCTGCTGCTGCTGCTGCTGCTGCTGCTGCTGCTGCTGGCCTTGAAGACACCAGGCCTTGCCGGCTGCTGCTGTCGTTGCTGCTGTTATATATTTCTGCTTTGTTGTTTTTATATTTTAAATTCATAATAATAAATAAATAACTATAAAATCATACTTGTCGTGGCTGTTGCTGCTGCTGCTGCTGCTGTTCCTGCTGCTGCTGCTGCTGCTGTTGCTGCTGTCGGCTGCTGGGCAGCTGTTATTATCTCCGTGATATTTATATCTTTTTTATATATTTAAATTATTTTATTTGCATTTATTAATTTTTTATTTTAATATTTATTATTTTGTTTCTTTAAGTCGCGCCCCACCCTGATCATCTATTAGGGTTTAGGGTTTAGGGTTTTAGAGGTAGGTTTTAGGGTTTGTCGTTTGGGTTTAAGGCTGCTAGGAATTAGGGTTTAGTGTTAGGGTTTAGGGTTTAGAGCTAGGGTTTAGGGTTTTGTGTTAGGGTTCAAGGGCTTGTTGTTAGGGTTTAGGGTTTGTTGTTAGGGTTTAGGGTTTGTTGTTAGGGCTTAGGGTTTGTTGTTAGGGTTTAGGGTTTGTAGATCTGATGTGTAAGGAGTCCCTATATTTATTTCTACTCTGATTAGGGTTTAGGGTTTAGGGTTTAGGAGGCATTTGTTTCTTCTTGAGGGTCTAAAGGATAGTATTAGGGTTTAGGGTTTATAAGCAGAGTCAAGCTTTCTGCAGCTACAAAAGCTCTAAACCCTAAACCCTAAACCCTAAACCCTAATTATGCGTTTATTTAAGGGTTTAGGGTTTAGGGTTTACAAACAGACAAACAGACAAGCAAAATAAATAAACGAACAAATAAATAAATAAATAAATATAAATAAACAAATAAAAATAAATAAACAAATAAACAAATAAACAAATAAAAAGCAGCAGTCTGCCTACGCATGCATTTTTATTTATATAATATTATATATATCATATTATATATATTATAATATATATATAATATATACTATAAATATTATA